CGATCCTTGTTGTACCTGTAGTGCCCAAAAAAGTCTCTATTTCGAATACTGTTACAAGTCTAACATTAATGCGAGATGAGCTGCATTCATCAACAATCCCAAGTATTCCGAAGAAATGTAGTGCAGCGGGGTAAGATTACACGATTTTGATAATATTATAATGGCAAAATAACGATGTGATCAACTGTCAATCCCAAGATAATATGGATCGCCTCAAAAACCATCCAACTGCACTTGTCAGGCGTCTACTGAAACAGCGCAGAATAAAAGGCGTCAGGATGGCGAGGAGGCTGAGAAGGTCGCACCCTTACGGTCTTTCCAAGAGACATCTTTAGTTCAATTTTTAAATAACCCCATCATATGTTTTAAGTTTCAATTTTTTTTTTTTGTAAATTATTGCAATATACTATATATATTTTTACTTTTCTTACGCAACCCGTGGAAAAAAAGTGTTGATAGTAATTAATGTTAATTTCCCGCTGATGGCAATAAATTTCGACATAATAATTTTTCAATAAATTGTGTTTTTTAGCACACAAAAATATGAATGCAAAAAAGTACGCTGTATCATAATATTGTTGTACATGACTCACATATTCTGAGATGGAATTCCACTTTTTAGAATACCATTTGCACGAACATTAAAGCGATTTCAAAATGAAGTCCATTAAATTGTTGAATTATAACCGACTGCCAAAAGTGATGAGAAGAACATCTTGAATGAAGTAAGCGCTTGTACAGTTGAAAGAATATTTCATATTTTTTTGTTACCAATATCATTACCAATAATTGCTTTTTTAAAAGATTTGCTACAAATGATTGCCAATTCGTAATTTCTGAATTGAAAAGCGCCCTTATTTTGTTGGCTTTGTGATCACGATCGACATATACTATGTATTTGTTGAATGTGTCTGGGTGTGTTGTGTGAGAGGGGTTGGCGGCTGGTGCTTGTTGTGCAACCCTCAAAATGTGCAACACTTAGTCAAAAATCATGCAACATTAGGCCTCGCCTCGGTGCATCGCGTGTATACTACGTATGAGCCGAGCCATTCATTAGAGCAGTAATGTGTGCCTGTCTGCCTGTCTGATGCCGGTACTTTGAGCTTTTCCCTCCCCCATCCCTGTGCGTCGCACTTTGCTCGACTCTCTATTCCCAACATCCCCAGCCCCCTCTCAAAAATAAATACAACAACAACAAGAAGAAGTAGAAGAAGAAGAGCATGAGGCAAAAAACACAAGCAGCACAAAATTGCAACACTTTTTTTCGCCGCGCTGAAAATGTCACATGCTCGACTCGACCCTCGTCTCTCGCCTGGAAAATGTAATGTAACTGTCGCGCTGCCAGCCAACCAGCAGAGCCACCCATTTGGCATTTCATTGTTGTGCTTTTTTTGTTGTTTTCTTTCACATTTTATTTATATAATGTCTGCAGTCTATGGCAGTGTTCGTGTGTATGTGTGTGTGTGTGTGTGTGTGCGTGTACATTTTTCTATTAAAGCGCAGGAAACACGTGCGGGTAAAACATTTTTCAAGCTTTTAGCGCTGCATACAAATCAACCCCAAAAACAAAGATCCCATTCAACATAATTTGTTGAACTTCATAGAAGTTTGGGGAGGGACTGAAGTCGTCAGCAAGCTGTTGCATTATATACATAAAACGTCTATGTGCGACTTGTGAGTGGCAAGCCAAGCCTTTCCACCCACTATCCACTGTCTTCCCTTCCTTTCCTAGTTGGGCATGGTAAGTAACAGGGGAGCAGATGAGACGATGGGACGATGGGACGTTGAGACGATGAGAACAGAAATCAAGGCAATGGGAATGGCATTTTCATTTCCATTTCATATTGCGTAAACAGGCTTTTGAATTACATGTGTTATGTGCGCACATCTTACGCAGCTGAAGCAGCAATTTAATAAACTTTTCCCTCTCTTCCCTCTCTTCTCTGGCAAATTAGCTTTACATTCTCTCAATTAAGATTGAGCGTAACAATTGCGCTTTGACGTAAGCAGAGCCTGATGCAGAATGCCGCATACCACACATACATACATACTCGTACATACATACATATACATGCATGCGTGTACATGCAAATACATTTAATTGAATCCAATTTAGCAATGCATTTCTTTTTTGCATGAGAGCTCTGAGATATGTGGAGTACCAGTGCGCTATGAGAGTTGCTGCAACACACAAGGGACTAACCGGACTAACCCCTGCCTGAGAGTGCAGCGATTTTTGCATCGCATGGGCAGCGGCTTTTGTCACTTTTAATTGCTTGTAATTGCAACATTTTTCCACAAACAATCCTTTATTTATTGTCATGACAGCTTACAATTAACTTCAGCTTCTGGCCAGCGAGCTCTCGAGAAGATTACTCTGCTATAATAATTATAAAAGGTTTCGATTGTGGATTATACCTAATTTTGTCTTCACACGTTAGATTGGTTCCAGAAAAAGTTGTTTAAAAAATCGGGTAAAAAATAAGTTGATCATATGGTTTTTTAAATCGTGTTAAATGGAATAGTGTCGTTTAACCAATTATAAAATTTTTAATTTTCAAACCGCGTTAGAACAGACCGTGTAAAAACAGAATTAGGTGTATATGTACATATGTAACTACACCTAATTCTGGTTTTACACGGTTTTGACAACACGATTTGAAGATAAAAAATTATAACATTTTCATCACAATTTTATTCCATTTAGTAAGATTAAAAATATTACAACACAAATAAATAAAAACAAACACAGCTCAAAACAGAGGAACCATTCTTGTATGGGTCGTTACAAAGAATTATACAAAGAGGTAGCAAAAATTCGCCAGCAAGGGCTCATAGCAGAGTTCACTGTTAAAAATTTAGATGTAGAACGAACTAGAGTTCAAAACGAACCAGTTCAAAATTATTTCAGCAATGATATGTTTTAAATGATGATGACAGCAATTAAATTTATGTTCCTGTATTTATGATTATCATTTCATTTTTTTTTAACAACATAGCTGTTTTACATACATATACGTACATACAAGTAGAAATTGATTTTAGTTACTGAACTTGTCATACATTTAATTAACATTACATACTTTTAAGCTTAGGGTGCATATCTTTTTTACTTTACTAACTATGCTTGTGTAAAAACATATTCCATATGTGATTTAATACAATAAACATGAATACCTATTCTTAAAAAATCCTCTTTTTTCACTAATTTTAGTAGGTTTTAGGGAAATAATCACCTATTTTTGATCGTATGCAAATGTCTTTTTTTAACGGTTTTTCTGCAACCAATCTACCATGTGAGAACTGAATTAGGTGTATTTGTAGGCTGAACTAAACGGGACTCCTTTTTGTTAGATATTTTAATAATATGCTGCCTTATTCTACAACTTTGGGAAGTCTAGATAAATAGCACTGATTTGATGAGAGCGACATCAAATTCTTCTCCCTCCCCAAAATCTTCAATGCTTATGCTTGTTTATTATTCCCCTGTATGTTCTTCTGACATTATTACTCAAACAATCCTTTACTGATTGTCACAAATTTTATTTATTGTATAAATTAACTTCAACTGCTGACCAGCGAGCTCTTGAGAAGATTACTCTGCTTAATTATTATAAAATGTTTCGATTATTGATAATATGAAACTATTTGTAAACTGCACTAAATGGGACTTTTATCTTGTTAAATATTTTAATAATATGTATGCTGCTTTACTCTACCACCTATACTCTTCACAAACTATAAGAGCTATTGTTAGTCTAGATACATAGCTCTGGTCTGATGAAAGTCACATCTGATTCTCCTCTATATTCCAAAATCTTCAATGTTGTTTTTTATTATGTATTATTACCTTTCTGAGTTCTTCTGATATGGTACTTATATCTTTGTGCCATATACATATATTATATTGGAGTTATAATTTTGATAAAAACGTCTCTGGCAGAGAATTGCATTGCCTCCAAAAGGATACCTATTCATATTGACGGTCCAACTTTTGTATATATTGGAACACAATAAGTCACCTGATTCAATCAAATTGTTAAAAAATTGCTCTGCTCTTTTCACCGATGTGCAATTTAAAAAACTTGATTGCCATAAAAAGGCATTGCACTTTTTTGTAACCAGCAGCATTTCATCACCTGTGCCTGCATTCTGGATAAGCCCGTGCTAAAATGCATAAATATATGTACTATATACGTGTTCATATACAAGTACATGTGTATGCGGTGATAAGTGCCTGTGTTGGTGACTTCCTGACTGTTAACTCTCAAACTATCATGTTATTAGGCAGAGCTGCATGAAAATGTAAATAGCACTGTTGCTTAACAGAATTATAGCAAGTGGGGTAATGGCAACTAACATAACCTACCATAACAGCGGATGCATATGTGCGGCCTTAAAAAATAAAGTACAGCTAAATATGTGAGAAAATATAAAATACATTTGCAAGTTGTGCCTTTTATTCAAAGAACCCAAAATCTATGGAACCTTTTATATAGAGTTAATATTATGTTATTAAATGTAAACTAAATAAACCATAGTCTATTTCTATGTGCGACCCATTAGCAGGATACGACCAAACTGTTGCTCCTTTTAACAGCTGCCGCAAAGACACGCTCTGGCAAAAGCAGCGTGTACGGCGCGCAAACAGCGTGTTAACAGCAGCGAGAGCAGCGCCTGCGCACAACCACCACCAGTCACGAGTTATAGCCGAAGCGACACCCGAATGTCACGCAATTCGAGTGCAACGAGTGCGCGCTCATTGGTGGGGGTGTTGAGTCGCTTACTCGCTAACTTCAAACGGCTGGTGCTCAACTTCTGCTGCTGTTCTGCTGTTTTATTGCGTTCGCTGGTGTTGTTGTTGTTGTTTTTGGTGTTGTTGCTGCAGCTGCCGAAGCAACCCAGGCTTCACTCTTCACTGTTCACAGTGCACAGTTCAGTCTGTTTGCGACGTTCGTATTGCGTGGACTCCGGCGGAAGAATCAAAGTTGGAGCTACGCTCGTTGACTTACGCGTTTTTATGTTTTGCCGCACAGTGTCAGCCTATTGTGAAAATCGCAACAATCGCGGTTTATTGTTGTATTGTACGCGTATGTATGTGTGTGTGCGTGTGCGCTGCGTGCGTGTACGTCGAATTCGTAGGCAGACCACAATACGCACAAACTCGCAACAACAACAACAACAACAACAACAACTAAAACAGCTACAGAAACAGCATCGGCAACTGCGGCTGCGACTGCGACGTGCCGTTCTGTTCTGTTCCGTGCCGTGTCGTGTTGAAAGCGCAAATGTAAATATGTGCGCACACATGCAGCAACATAAATTAAATCGAGTTAAATCGCATAAGATTCATACTAAAGTCGAAATATTAAATTAATTGCTGCACAACAACACTCGGTCATTTGCCACTGTTTGGGGTTTTTGTCTGTGTGCGGCCTGTGCCTCTGTGCCTGTGTGTGTGTCTGTATGTGTATGGGCGCTTGTGCGTTGGGGCTTATATTTGTTTGAGCGTCAGCTGCCTGCGTCTGTGTGTGTATGTGTACGTGTGCGTGTGCGTTTGCAACATCTGTTGGACGGCCTGTGGGCGAATCTAATTTCCGTTGCCGCACCGCTTTTCAGCAGCGGTTATCCGTTTTGTTGATGTCGCGTCAATTTCAATTACGACGTCCTCCTCTTCGGCTTGCGCCGCGCTCTTGGCAAGTGCGACGTCTGTGAGAAAAATCCACAAAAAAAGTTCTTATCTATTTAACTTAAATCTCAAAAAGAAAAAGTCAAATATCCTCTCAACATCAAATATCAAACTCAGGTAAGTCTCTTAAGGGCGAACTTCATTTCATTTTCAATGGGCTTTAAAATTGTTGGGAAATCTTGCCGCTGATGAGATCAAACTTAAGCATTTCATAAACTCACACGACAAACTTGATTAATCTTGGGTGCTATTTAAAGAAAGTTTAAAGACCAGAAAGCTTACCTTATCTTTTTGGTAGAACAATTGAGTGTCTGAGCTAATATGTGCCCGTTATAATGTCAAAGCATAATGTTGTAGTACACGAAAAATGTATGAGCTCCACAAGTACGGCATTGACCAAAATTTCCGGCTTAAATAATAAACATGTTTTAACAAGTTCATACACGGGTGCCATTCGTAAGTCGAATTGACAATATTTGACAATTTCTTAGTTTTCTTCATTCATTCAATCAAAAAGTAATTGCAAGTATTTATATTTGTTTACCATTGTAACAGAAAAGTCCCGAATGGTTATAGCTCACGTGATTTCTGTAATAAGTAGTAGAAGTTTGACAAATTCATAGTTAGGTAAAGTTTTCTTACAAACAATTTGATCGTCATATGTTTCTTCTGTTTTCGCTGTACGGTTTGTTCAGAATAAATTATTGCATTCTGTTTCCTGTTAAGTAAACAATAAAATAATAATAAAATACTCAATATTTGATGAAAACAAATCACCGAAAACATATTTTTATAATTTGTTTTAAGTTTTATTGCATGACATTTATTTTGTGATTAATTTAAAAAGGTAGTTTCTTACAAATTCGACTTAACAATTTCATTTTTTCTAATAAGATCTGTATTAATTAATTGATTATTTTAATGGTATTTTTTAATGCTTTTATACAAGTTTATCAATTTTAGTTAATGTTCATTTTGACTCAAAAATAGGCAATCAAGTTCCCAAGCAGGGTATAATTTTTCTCACTAAAATATTTTACTTCCAGTTTTATGTTTCGTTATTGTGATTTTTATTAAAAGCTAAACTTCATAAAAAATAGTGAATAATACAAAAATGTGCATGCCGGTTGGTTATCAAGTATTTTTCAACGCGCCTCTCGGGTATGCATCACTTTTTTTGAAACTGTTTCGTAGAGCCGTTGACAGGAAGTAGCTTGGAATAAAGTCCCTAAAATTATAACAAATAAATAAATAATAATAATAATACAGACTTACATTTAAATAATAATTAAATGTATAAAAATTATAGATCTACTTTTCTATTCATGTTCGCTTGCTGGAAATAATTTTGTTATTTCCAGTTTTTAAGAAATATATGAAGTACGCTTCATGCTAATATTTAATTGACTTGAGTATCGTTAGTTATTTCAAAACTTCTTCTTTTATGGAAAAACAAAAATTTGTGTCTCTCACAGCACTGGACTCTTACTTTGCATAAATGAACAACTTTCCAGCTGCCTTGCCAAACTTTCAATGCACATGTGCAGCAAGTTGCAAAAGTCTGCAATCTGGTCTAAAAACTGTTTCTCATTTCGATTCCCAAGCGAATTTTAACTTTAAATCTTTAGGCTTGTCCGGAAAGCTTGCGAGTAAGAGAAAGAGAGTTTGAGTGTAAGCAAAAAAAAAAAAAAAAAGGAATGGATAACAAACAATGCATATTTATGGGCCATCAACATTGTGGGGCGCTTTAAGATTTATGCAATTCATTTCAAATTTATTGCACAAATATACATATATGAAATTTCCACATGCATTTGCTGGCAACTGCAACAGCAACAGCAAGTGCTGTTATTTTTTCTACTGCTGTTGCATGTGCAACATATTAAAAATGCAACTTCGACCTTGGCTTCAAATTGCCGTGCCGGTGTAGGTAGTGGTGTCGGTGTCGGCATCGGCATCGGTGTCGGCGTCGGCGCCGGGGGTCGGAGTGTGCGGCTATAGCGGCCAACCACAGCCGTCAGACGTGTGCATAAAACAACAAACAGAAAACAGAAAAAAATGAAAACAAAATAAAGGAACAACGTGGCCAGAGCAAAGCTGCCGCACATAGTGCGCCTTTTATGGGAGCACCAACTACTGCTGCGGATGCTGAAGCTGCTCTTCATGTTATTGCATCTACTCTGCTGGTCCGGCTACTGCCACTGCCACTGCCACTACCACTGCCACATGCACAGCCACTGCTGCAGTTGTTCTCTTTCAGTTGTTGCCGCTCCTGTAGCTGTTGTTGCTGCCGTGTTTGTTATTTGTCCTTTTTACTGTACACATGACAATAACGCCGTCGGCGGCAGCTGCTCACCGCACTCAGTCTCCTGCCTTGGTGGTGGTACTTCTACTTCCACTTCTACTGGTACTGGTACGGCTTCAGTCCGGTCAGGCGTGTTTGCGTCTCGGCGAGAAGGCATCACGGTCGTAGTTTGAAGTGCCAGTGCAACTTTTTCCATTATGAATGGTGCGGTTTGCGATTTTTCCCTCCATTATTTACGAGTTTCGAGTGCAAACTTGTTTCGCTCTTTCACTCGCACAACTCTCGCACAGCAAACAAGTGGCCAGAGAATTAGAGGACAAGAGCAGCAGCAGCAGTGGCAGCAGCGGCAGCAACAACAATGGCAATAGCAACAACAACAAGAACAAGAACAACTGTAGTTGGAGCAGCAACAATGAAATGCCGCTTGGCCGCTTAAAAAATATAATCTGCACAAAATGGCAACGGATGAGCGACCAAAATGAGTCGCGCTCTATCCCAAATCTATGAGGGATAGTGGCGCAGCAGGTTGGCTTGGGTTCGTTCAGTTGTTGGGCGGCAAGGCGAAAAAGTTTGCAACTAAATGCTAAACTTTCATGCTTGGCTAAGAAACAATTTGGCTGAATACGAGCAACTTCTAATGTCTTCCTAACCGAAATGTGAATTATTGATAAAATGCTTAAAACTTTTCCAATGCCGCATGTGTGTCATGTACGGCTGGCTATATGGCTCTATGGGTATGTGTATGTGATATGTGGGTGCAGGTTTGATGCATATGTGTATATGTATATATATATATATATATATATATATGTGTGTGTGTTTGTGTGGACAGAGCATAGCTGTGCATTTATGCGTGTGCATAATTTTGAAAATCACTTGAGTATTTTGCGAAACAAAGTTGCAAGTTTTGCCAACTTGTTTCACGCACTTCTTGCTTCGGCTACGTCACATGGCCCAGCATTCAGCATACAGCACACAGAGAAAAACCCCAGAAATAAAAGGCAAATGAATTTCAATTAGATGCACACTTCGGTATAGAAAGTAAGATAGAAAGTTGCCAAAAACAAAAACCAACACCAGTTTCCTTTATACTTTTTGCAAACCTTAATTCTCATTCAAGCAAAGCAAGATGCCCTTTGCATGTTCATTAGTTAAGCAGAAAACAAATACTTAGCGAAATGTAGAAAACCTATTTGAAATTAATTTCAAAACTTTCCGCTTAGTATTTCAAGAATATGGAGGCCGATCGAATTAAAAGAACATCAGAATTAAGGAGCAATAGGGTTTAACTACTATAAGTATGATACAACACTTTCCTTTATAGTTTTTGCAAACCCAAAGTAATATAATAGATGCCCTTCGCATGTTTTTTAGTTAAAGCATAAAACAAATCTTTAGTTTAATCAAAATATAGAAGTTGATAGAAAAAGTATTTGAAATTAATTGTAAAACTTTCTGCTTAGTATTTAAAAAAAATTGAAGACGATGGAATTAAAAAGAGCATGAGAATTAAGTAGCCAAAAGGTTTCCCCTATTATATGAAACAGATTAGTTTTATCCTGTGAATACTTATAGTTAATTAGCAATAGTGTTTAACTATAATATGATACAGATATGTGTCTTTTTTTCCTGTGAATAGCTATATTCTCCAATGCGTTCTATATTTTGAACGAAAGCAATTAGTCTCTTAATAGCTTTGAGTGATGAATAGAAAAACAGCGAATGAAGTTTAAAATATTATCTAAAAACGTTTAATAAATGTGTGTTTTATTGGGAGAATTAACGCAGCAATTGCCTGCGCTTTAAACCCAAAACAGAAACTAAATTCTAGATGAATATTTCATGCACATTTTCCACAAAATGAGCGACTCTGTGCAATAATAATGTGAGTTAAAAATAGTTATTGCATTTAAAACAATGTTTGGATTGAAGTGGCAAACAAAAGCGAAAAATAGTAAAGTACTTTCATGCAATAAGGCTGAGAAAGGTATGAGTTTTTAAATATTTAATTTGCATAGTTCAAAGGGGCATATTTTCTTTGAGTGTGGGGCCTCTAGCAGCAGTTAGGCTGTTCAAGTGAATGTATGCCTGGATGGCTCAAACTGCGACCCGGCACAACTTCTCGTGCATGCAGCACATTCTCTGACATTGATAAATGATTTTGCCACTAAACTTTAACAAGAAAACCCCAAACAGCCCCACGCACTAGAAACCGTAGTAGCAGTTGCAAGAACAGGAGCAGCGGCAGCTGCACGAGCAGGAGCAGCATTGCAGCATCCGCTGCTCAAGGAGGGTGGACAAGGGCAATGGAAATGGCAAGGGATAGTGCCTTGCATTCATAACAAGCAAATTGTTGTTGCTCACTAAAGCGTGAACTCTGTACTCTGTACTCTGAAATTTGCCTGCTCGCTCGTTGAGGCCCAGTGCAATTATCAGAACTTGCACACTTCAGTTGCTTGACGAGAAAAGCGAACAAGAAAAAAATGAAATACGAAAAGAGAAGAAAAGAAAACAAAAGTTGTAAATAAAATATATACTTGTATATACTATATACTATATATGTGTGTATATGATAAATTTAATTATGCCCCAAAAAGGCAACTACTACTTCAACAGCTGCTCTCATTCGCTCGCACTCTCACTCACTCATTCGCAGAATGTTAGAGTCCTTAAGCAAAATTTCATTCACTTAAAAGTCCTAAACCAAGTAATATTTTCTCTCCTTTTTTTGGGTTGCCTTTACTGCTGTGTGAGTGTGTGTGTGTGTGGCAAGCAAATGCAAATGAAAAACCGCACCGCATGCTCAAGCCGA